CAATATATGAGATTGGAATCACTTCCTCCACCCATAAAGATCTTAGTAGCATGGACAATCTCGAGAACTACGCTGACAACCAAGGGAAACCTGTCGACATCGACCGAGTTTTTGGGTTGGTCACTCTCATCGAAAGTGATCGGGTGCTCCGACCAGGGTAGCGGGGTCGTCATCGCGGGTGCTGTGGTATGAGCCTCCCGAACAGCAGGTAGGTATCCCGAATCTGGTCGGGTCCTAGTGTGGGCCCGGATGGTCATTACTCGTTTGAGGGTTTGTTTCAAGTGTCCCATGCGCCGCCGATTGTCCCATCGAGGGGTGCCTCACGAGGGAGTCGCTGTAGCGGCTGTCACACAGTAAGTCTTACAATCTTTGGCGAGATGGGCTGCCGTGTACCCATGATTCTGGCATAGGAGATTCATGGCATGGCCAAGATTTACCCGATAATCCCGTTTTTGACTTCGCTTGACGCTTAGCCAGTCGGGCCCGTGATTCTTCTTCGTTAACTGGGGTGCCCTGACCCTGTTAGGGTTGATCGCGAGAGTTGGGAAAAGTTACCAAGCGTGTGCCATGGCGATGCTCTTGAGCCTGTCGAAGAATCTAGGCAAAACAACATCTAGTGATGGCGGTAGTTCCACATCATCAGGGTGGTTTGATTCACACCAGATTTTGCGTGCGGTGTCGAGGAGGTACTCCTGACAAAACTAAGAGAACGTAGACTCGGCGTAGCGACTTACTTAACGAGCCAGTTGAAGCGGTCCTGCTTCGATCGCGTCTCTGAGTTTGGTGAAGTAGAGTTGATCGGGCGATGGTGGTGTCGAAGCCCGTGCTCGAATCTTGGGGTTGCTACGTCATTGCTACCTTGATCGCGCGGAGGTGGCGGTGCCATGGCCGTCCTTCTCCGACAGCCTCCTGATCACGATCTTACTCGACCTGTAAAGAATAGCCATCCGAGACACAAAAAACAAATCTGTACGCGAAAGGCCCCTACCTGGCGCGGCAACTGTCGGATTGTTTAGCTTCGGCAATAACTTGCAACATGATCGCGTAGATGGAATTGGATGGTAACACACGAGACACAAGGATTTATACTGGTTCGGGGCATGGTGGCGCGCTAAACCCTACTCTAGTGGTGTTGCTGCTCTTGTATTCGTATGCTCAATTACAGGGGTTGTTGTTCCTAGCTACGTAGTAGGTTCAAATGGTGGAAGATGGATCCTGAGCTCGAGGTCCCTACCCTCCTTTATATAGGCAGAGGGGGTAGGGTTACAGAGAGGGCGATCAGGCTAACAGATTGAGTTCCTAGTTTGTTACACGATATGCGCAACAGATTGATCCTAGCTATCGTCCAGATACGCCTATCTTGGTTTGTCTTGATCTCCACGTTGGTCGATCACGTCAGCCCTTGCGGGCCTCCTCCTTGGCGACTGCGGGGCCGATAGCCTGGTGACGGTCACATATACGGGCGGTGCAGGTACCCCTGGCCCGTATATCTGACACCAGGTGATATAAACAGGGTCTAATGACAGGAGACTCCACAACAGTGTAGGAAAGTAGAAAATATTAAGCGGATTTTTAGTTAGAGCAAGCCCAATAAGCTTGTCTAATAGCCAAGCTATGTCATGTATAGACTAGTGTTATAGAAAATTTATACAACAACCAAGGCTCTTCACAAATTCCAAAAATACTTTTAATAGCGTGGGACCTGCCACTATCCATCCTATCTCCTCCCTCTCTCTCTGTTCTCATTTGTAGGCCACAACAGAACCGCACATGCAGCCTCACATTGATTCTCAGCGGGCCCTACACAAACCTAGGAGCCCATGACGAGCCGGTCGATGCATGCGTCGACCACCACGCTCTCTCCTGTTTTCTCTCTCTTCCACATCAGACTTTGCTGAGTTGTCTTGGCTATTAGCCAAGGTGACATGGCTTATTGTACTTGCTCTTATAGCAGCTGTAGAACACCTTATTCAGAGCTCGAACCATCTTCCTTGGGAAACGTAATGACATTGGAATAAGCAGGGTGCTTTCAAACTCGATTACTCGATCAAGCACGAGCAGCATCAAGATAAACCCACTGGCCGATGAAGAGGCTCTAGCAGTTGATGTTGGGGTTGAAGCGGAGGAACGGTTTACCCCTATGAGCACATCTAAAGAACTGAGCTGGATCGGTAAATCTCGAGATTGACGAAGTCACCACATGCGTCTCGCTGTTGATGGGCACGTGGCCAACCACTTAAAGAATAGCGCCGTTAAATCCTGAAATAAATCCAAAAAAATATGAGCACTCATGTCAAGTCGAGGACTTGAACTCGGATGGGCAGGTTCCCCCATGAGAAACTCAACCAGCTGAGCTACGCTCAGTTCGCTACATCGTGTAGTTTTGACTGGACAAGGATTTCATCTTTTACATAGAATCTTCTCATTTGGATTCTTTGGCTACGTAGAAATGGTTGTACATATTTTTGATACCATTAAAACTTGGACAATTCTATTGGCTGAGATGACACTGAATATTACTACAAAAGGTAGGATACAAGGAGCAATAAATAGTCAAAGTACGCCGATCATTATAATGTGGTAACCTAGTGCTGATGTGATGCAAATGAATTGTGTTATTGTCTACCCTCTAGTCACAAAGGATATGTTTGAATGCTGTCCTGGCTAACTTGCCTGGACGAGGCAACATCCTCAGACGATTTGCTTAGCTTCGGGTGGATGCTGGCTGCCTAGCGTCAGCCCCCTGGCCAGGGCACGAAGCAAACACGCCCAAAGTGTTTTCGACATCGAAATGGTTTCCAAAATACAATTTTGAGTAGAAGTTTTTGCTATAAATATTTATAAAACTACATTTTAGGGTTGACCTACTCGTATTGTTTTCAAATATCTAAACTCATTAATACATAAAAGGTAATAGGCAACCAAAGTTTATAACGGTTGACTTAGGACAATCTAAAATGTCTTATATTATTTGTGATTCAGGAGACTACATTAAGTAATGTGCCAGAACTGGAACGTGTGTGTTTTAATTTTCTGAAGATGTTGGCTCCTTTGACTAGCAGCTGCCTTGGATGTCACAAAACGTCCTCCTGGAATCCTACTGGGGTAAGGGCGTGGACAGTGGAGAGCCCCTGAGTTCGAGTATCGTCTTCGGGGCAGGAGACTCGTATTGGAACCCGAGGAGCCCTCGAGTTCAAGTGATGCCTTTGTGGTCTGGCCCCGTTAGCTGAAAGGCTAGATTGGAACTCGCTGGCCTAACACTAAACACCTCGACAATAGCTGATGTTGTTGTTGAGTTGTGTGCGGTGATTGTGTTGTGTGCGGTGCGTTTGTTGCTTGTCAACCGGTCGTATAGTGTGTGTCATTGTTGATTTTGTTTCTTTTCTTTTTTTTTCTGTAGATAGCCTAGCCTCCTAGGGCTATCTTCTTATATTTTCTGCTATAATGATAAAAAACTAGTATTGTAAATCATCGTTTGTATAAAAATAAATTCGCATATCAATACCCGCAAGATTCATGATAGCGACGTACTCCCTCCATTCCAAATTGTAGGATGTTTTAGCTTTTTAGATACATATTTTTTGATATGTACTTGGATACATATTATATCTAGATGCATAATAAAAACAATGTATGTAGAAAAGTCAAAATATCCTATAATTTGGAACAGAGTGGGTACTATTGTATAGCACCTCCACGACTTCACCAAAATCATTGGCATGTGCGGGGGCGGAGGCAACACCACTTCTATATGGGCATGCTGGCATCTAAGACGTCGAATGCCTCCACCTCCATCGGACACAACCAACTACCTCTGGGCCAACAAATTATAGCATCCATTGCTTCCGACCGAGGCCAAAGCGGCAGTGACAACTCCACTAGGGTGTTAAGGATGCAAGTTGACGTCGCTCGGAGTGAGCATGGTTGGAGCGACAGGTCATAAGCGAGCAACAATGGGCGTGGTTTGTCGAATTTTTGTTTGGAAGGTACGGTGATAACATTTTCTGATCCTTAGAAACCCTAATCGCCCCTTGATTATTCCTTCTTGTCTATAGTGGACTTGCATGCTCCTCCCCGAAGCTAAATTAACTGTCCAAGCCAACTATCAAGGATCAGAAACCCCTTCAACACAGGTTAAACCGGCCTACGTCGAGGTTTTCTTGGCCTAGCATAGTTTTTACTATATAATACTCCCTCCGTCCAAAGTAAGTTATTCTAACTTTCTTAGAGAGTCAAAACATCTCAAGTTTGACTAAATTTATATACTAAAATAATAACATTTATGATAATGAATAACTATCATTAGATTCTTCATTAATTATATTTTCATAATATGTCTATTTGATATCATAAATCTTTGAAATTTTTTTATAATTTTAGTTAAAATTGAGATGCTTTGACTCTTCAAGAAAGTTGGAATACCTTATAATTTGGAATGGATGGAGTAGCGTTTATCTGCAGTATCATAAGGCGTATTTTCTAGTGGTTATTAATTAGAGGTCCAAATTTATACAACCATAAAAAATGTGTGGTGACCGCGAGGAGACGTTTTAGGCCAGTGGCGGTTGAATTAACAAAGTCCATAGCATACCAACTCCTCGCATCAGCAACACGATGGATGAAATAAAGAACACACGAACGCACGGTACATCTCGATCGAACACATATACACATGCATGACTACATCTACATGAGACCAAACCGACGAAATCAATTTTTTTTCATGAAAATGTGTTGCGGGGACAGGGTGACACGCATGATTATAGAATACTGAAAAAGTGTTATTATTCGAGAGAGAAAAAACTTTGCTCATACATTATTCGAGAAAAAAAAAACTTCGCTCATACATGGAGGTGAACATAACAGAGAACGAAACCACCGTAGGACACGCCTCTTATTCTTTTTTTTTTGAGGTAACGCGCCTCCTTATTCAAAGCCAAAGCACGACTCAGCATCGTCGCGACGCAGACGCAGGGACTAGGGGGCTGTGCAAATTAAAGTCAGTCATGACAACCGGATGTGGCTTCAAGGCAGACCCACTGGCCGATGAAGAGGTTGTCGCAGCAGATGTTGGGGTTGAAGCCGAGGAAGTCGTCCAGGGTCAGCCCCACGCCCTGCGCCAAGCAATAGCACGTCTCGCCTTCCTGCACCCCGTGCACCTTGTTGCAGGTCAGCTCTGACTCTGGCTCCGGCTTCGGCGACTCACAAGTGCTGCAGGTCGGCGGCTCCGTTTTCGGCTCCGGCGGCTCCGGCACCCCACAGTTGTCGCAGGTCGGCTCCGCCTCAGACACCGTCCGCGCCGCAGCATCCGCCAAGTAACCTGCGGCATTTCATTTATTCGGCACGCATGCTCATCATACGGTCAGACAAGGACACACGGGCACAGATGCATTTCATGCCGGATGATTGCTTGGACGACGGGTCGGAGTATGTAGCTGCATACCTTGTCCATGCGCGTCGCGGCGCACGGTGGGCCTCGCGTCGGCCCTGGATATGGCGACCGCCACGAAGAGGGACGCGATCAGGAGGAGAGCGGCGGCGGCGCGGTGGTTCGCCATTGCGAGTGCTGCCGCTTCAACCGTGCAAGCAGCAGATAGATTTTGTGTAGAAGAATTAGCTCGAGCTATATATGCTTTATTGCTTGGATGGCTTGGTGTCGCAAAGAGCATGCTTCGCGCCTTCTTATAGCTTGGCGAATGCGGTAGCTGATAAAGATGTATCTAGTAGTAGGTGACGAATCGATGGAAGAAGTAAGTGCTGAGACGTACGGCCTTGGACATGTCGCAAGGACGGCCAACCAACGGACGGGTGAATCGGTGACGCTGCTATGGACATGTCGTCGCAGCACATTTTTTAGCCGGCGTCTCCCATGGCAATTTGGCCCTGGACCAGCAAGTGAATCCGAACGGGGTGTTTATGATTGCAATGGAGCTCATTTGGAATACCAGCAAGTGCAGCCGAAGGGGATGTTTATGATTGCAATGGAGCTCATTTGGAATAATCTCTTTTTTTTAATAAGGGAATAAGATATTATTATTAGTAGTAGTATACATATATATTTAGAGCTTCAACCGTGAATAAATTGAAGCACCTCCAGGCCATCCGCGTGTAATTGGCCTGTGCCTACGTTGCACGTGGCGATAATGACTGCTCCGTGCCGGTCAACACATTGGTTATCTATGGCCTCAGCCGGTTCAGCATTCGTGTCCCCAAACGACCCTGCCGCGCTGCCAAGTGCTCACCAATCCGTAAACCAGATCCCTCTCCCACCAGCTTTCCAGGCCACCTCCACTCCTCCGTCCTCGGCCCCGGCCCCTCCGTGGCCTTCCCCTCCGGCCCCTCCGTCGCATCGTCGATCTGCTCCGTACCTCCGTCAGGCTGTCTCACGCCCTCATCTCCTCCACGCGGATGCCTGTCCTCTTTCAGCAGATACGTTCAGGAAATTAGAGCGCCGTCCTCTGGTTCGTCGCCTCTTTTGCCGCCTCCTGCCGCGCGGCGCACAATCGGCGGCTACCCTTACCATCTACCACGGGGATGGTTCCTTGTCCCGAGCATCGAGGTGTTGGGAGATATCGCAAAGTATATATGCCAAGGTACGCACACAATGTATTAAGTATTATTTCATCTTTGCAGTTACAGGTAGCAGATGTTAGCCAGAAATAAAATTTCCTTTTGCTAACTCTATACTTCACGGCTGTCTGTATGTGCCTAGCCTTAAATACCAACACAGGTTCAGATTTCTAAATGTTAAAATTCCCTCCAGTTCGTAATTAAGCTTCGGTCTACTTTCTTTCCATGCAGTCACCACCAAGTTAAGACTTTCAGATTTAAGACTCTTGCCATATGGAGAACACCTTCGTCATTCATGCTGCCTTTACATGGATGCACAAAGAGAAAAATTATACTGTAATATTGTTTCACTGCAATGGTGGTAGTATTTACGTGAAGCTTATGGTTATTGAAGAAAGTCTTTTTCATTGATAACCTCACATTTTGCTCTATCAGATGATTAGGTGAGATTTCTTGATTTTATTTATTATATGCTATTTAGGATGGCAATAAGGCAATAAAGTGTTATTTCAGTAGTAACTGCCTAAAAGTACCATGTTATAGGTGACATATGCATCCAAAAGTATCGTAACTAGCAGTTATATTAACCAAGCAATGATATTGTGTAAACTGGACGGTTGATAACCACCTGAAAGTGCTATTCTAGATGCCTTATTGATTTTGATTCTCTTTCTTTATTTACCAATGTAAGGCTTCATTTTTTTGTGTGGGAATTTTGCAGTAAGTCAAATTGGAGTTGGTGCGTACTTACAGCTTTACAGGCTAGACAATGGACATACAGAGGAGGTTACTATGGACATGGACATATAAAGGGAATTGCTAAGGATGTGCTATGTTTTTTTCAAGATGATCCTTTGTAGTTATTATGTTCATGCACTGATTTCACATGTATATTTAGATGTCTCGATAGGTCGTCTATTGCTTGCATACAAATACATCAGTTTTTTTTTTTTTTTTTTTTTTTTTTTTGGCATTTCGTCTTCATGTATGGCTGCCCATAGCATGGGTTTTCAATTTTTTTGGTCCACTGCACATGAAACCATCTTGGATACTATAATCAGCAGTTAGCTAAAAAAAGTAAAATGTTTATGCTTCTTGGCCCAATATGCATGACTGTGGACTATCTTTTTTTTTTTAAATTCGTCAAAGAAAGTGTTTGCCTCTTATAGGATTCAACATCTTATTTGTTGTTCTATGTTTTTTTTACAACAAATTTGCTGTTCTATGTTAATCTGCAACTAAATTCGATGGTGTTTAGTTAAACTCAGGCTTGGACTGCGGCGGGTGCAGCGGAGCGCTCCTCCCGTCCAGTGTGTAAATTCTCGAGGAATTTGGATGGTTTTAAGGAAATAAATTGGAGGCCTCCCAGCAATATGGCTCCTGTTCTTGGGCATGTTCGTTTGTAGGAATTCTGGAGGAATTTGGATGATTTTAAGGAATACTGGAAGAATTTGTGAGAGAAAATATTGTTTCGAATGAAAAAAAAAACGGATCGAGCCGGATTTAAGGGCACGCGAACGGGGCCTTAATGACGCGTGCCGCTCCAGGAAGCAGAGGCCAGCGCAAGCCGCGTGTCCTGCTGGGGCCACGTCCAAAAGGATGTGACAGATCCAACAAATCCAAATAAGGCTAGTTTACTTTGCAAAAAAAGTAAACCTGATGAATAGGACCAATTTCGTCTTATTTGGCAAATATTGTCCAATCGTGCGATTAACTAGGCTCAAAAGATTTATATCGTGATTTCTAACTAAACTGTGTAATTAGTTATTTTTTTATCTACATTTAATTCTCTATATGGAGAGTGAAAAAACTTAGAATTTGGATAGCATCTAGACAAGGCGTAAATATGAGGGAAGGTAAGACCAAATCCTGATCCTGTCGGGGCCTATGGAGATTCATAGACAGAGAAATAATATATGAAATCAACTCAATTCATTGAGCTGCTGATGATGTGGAGAGGAGCCCAAATCACGATACGGCCACAGCTTGATTTCTAATGGCCACAAAAAAAATTAAATCCACAAGCATAGAAAAAGATGATAAGAATATAAATTAGGTAAATATAAATTATACCGAGCCAAAAAAAAAATTTGAATATAAATTAGGTAAATATAAATTACTATATACCGAGCCAAAAAAAAATTATCTGTCCACCAGGAGTGGTTTTTGTCATCGTCTGTCCGTCCAGCGCCCTTCCGTTTGTGGCCCAGAGATTAAACCAAACATTAACTCGCACATGCTTACATAAGCCTTGATCCAAGAAAAATGCAATTGTAGGTTTAGGATAAGTCAAACTTTCTTAAGTTTGATCAGGTTTATTGAAAAAATATATTTCATAACTAATATATATTTATTAGGTATCTTGAATGTTAGTAATTCTTTGTGTAGATTTGGTTAAGTTTGAAATTGTTGACTTCCCGAGATCGAAGTGAGAATTGCATTCTTTTTTAACGTAGAGAGTGTTCATGTATATCAAACATTATCCATGGACATATTAGACTTTTTTCTTAAAAAAACCTCTTATTCTTAGAGTCAGAGTTGGTCTTTATGCCAAAAAGTCCATAAGCTCTGGTGTGAAATTAGAATTTCAAAGTGTAGTTTCTCCATGGTAGAGTTAGTGGAGCATAGGAGTCCCAAACAAACCATAAAAGCAGGATCAACAGGTGATCCAACTAATCAAACAGGAAACTAAAATCTTAATTAGTTTGTTGTCTAATTTAGTGTAAATTAATGTATCTCTGCAATCTCGACGAGGATTGCCATGTGAAAAATAGATATATACCATTCCCACCATTGTTTCTCATAAACATTTTATAGTTTTTCTCCCGTTGTAATGCACGGGCATGTTTGCTAGTTCAGATTAAAGAGACTCTGCAAGGTTTTTTACCATACTGTTCCTGGTTGGTTTGTTGATATTTTCCTATATATAGGATACGCTGTCCATTGATTTAGGGAAAAGGATCCTATCAGGGACTGCCAGTTCAAAGCACAGGTAATTTCTTCTACATGTTAGGCTATTCTATTTACATATAATGTAAAATTCATCTGCACCGGTGAAAGCAGTGCACTGGTTTTAGATGAAACATGCCTAAGATAACTCCATAAGAAGTACTCTTTAACATGTATTCCTCTTCCCGTTTGACTCTTTTATATCCACTCCTCTTGGATCCTCATTGCAATATTAAGAAGTCCATGTATCTTCTGCTATTTCCGAAAGATACCTTTTGTTCATGAGGCTGCCATAATAATGTGCTCATTTTCGTGAGGAAATACATGTTGGTTCTGTTGACCTGAATCAGTTAGTACCAAGGTATGCATTTTTAATCCACCATTTAAAATTCTTAGCGCCCTCTAATCACTAATTTGAAATCTAGAAAAAAAGAAAGACAATTATTATGGTTATACTTGAAATTTATCCCATTATTTAAATCTCTGCCATCTCTTATAAAACCATGCGAAGAGATGCATGTTGTATACACCATGGATTTTTAGTACAACTACAAATGAAAAATTGTGTAGTATGCTAATATGAATGGGGGATTTATCTTCAGTTTTCCACTGAATTAGTGCTTCCGCTCCACATTAGTATCATTTTGCTCATTCTAGTATATTGGTTGTTCAAGTGCTTCTGTTGGGCTTGTGCCGACAGTATGCTAATATGAATAGGGGATTTATCTTCAGTTGGCAGTTGCCCCACTATTTCCGTCTTCCTTTTCTCAGCAAGGGCCAAACATGAGTGCATGATAGTGCTGTTCAATAGGTGAGTTAGTGCTTCCTCGCCACATTAAGATCATTTTTCCCATTCCAGTATCTAGGTTCGATTTGTGCCAACCTTTTTTACTGGTAACAGCCCAACAAAGGATAATTCTAAAATGCCATTAATTGACAGCATTGCTGACAAGCCCAGGTGCTACTTCCATCAGTCCAGCACCAGGTCTTCCCTTGTGATAGATTTACCCGCCCTCTATTTATCTGATGTTGTCAACAA